CTCGTCATGTCCCTTGGAATCCCAAACAGCAGCAGCTCCAACTTGTCTCCCTTCCACAGTTTCTGCTTCCATCCTCCAAGCTTCTTCACCATCCTCATGATCTCTACGGCAACTGGACCGTGGCCACTTGTTTTTCGTGTTTTTTCAGGAAGGTATACGGAATACTCGGCCTTCCCAATCCGAGTGTCCGGCGGGGGTTGTGGTTCCTTTCAGTTATTTTGCCGGCTCACCGACATACTCAGAGAGGGGGGGGGGGACATGGGTCTGTGAAATATTGGCACCACAATGGTGCAAAAACACGCCTCACATCGTTCTTCCAAAGGCGGACCAAAATTGAATATTCGAGCGGTGATCAACCCCTCCATCACTCAACCGGGTAATGCTACCTTATACCACCTATTCTAAACACCGCCTTCCGCCCTCGGAAGAAAAAAGGCAAAAACAAACTCCAACTGATCCAGCTGTCGAAACAGCACGCCGAAAATAGAAACTGCTCCGTCCAGCCCACGCCCACCCCACACGCTCTACTGCTCTCAAAAATCAACGACCACGTCACAAAAAGAAGAAACCTCGGCTAGTCCATTGACTCATCCGCGATGCCAACGAGCGCGCGCGCACAACAACACACGCCCACCTCCATTCCGTTCGACGACCTTAATCGCCCCAGTCCGGCCCCGGCCCCATCAAGCTTTCCCATCCCACCGCCCTCCGCCACGTCCGGCACCCAGAGCTCGGTCAAGCCCGAGACGAACTCCACGTGGACGGCCAGTGCCTCCGGAAGGAGGACGTCGCCTGTGGCGCGCAGAACGGCACCGGTTCCGCCGCGTTTTCCGCCGTGCTCGCGGCGGTGGGAGCGGAAGGCCGCCTCGGGAAACGTCGCGGCGGCCTTGGCTGCGGACATGGACACCACCACGTGCGAACAAAACACCTGACTCCAAACAAAGCAGCAGGAGGTACATACATACATACACAAGGGGGACGGCCGAGATGGAAGACAGGGGCATTGAGCACACACTTCGCCCGGAAAGAAGGGCCAGGAGATCGGGGGTGCGGGTGGGAGGGAGCGTGCCGGTTGGCTGTTCTGGGTCATCGTCTCAGTATCATGTGCTTCGTATTGCCCTCGGTCTGGAATCGAGCCTGGTTCTCACAACAAGCGCCGCGGTAAAAATCGCGCTGTCGGATGGGAGAAAAACATTGGAAGGCACTTGCCTTCGCCATGACGTCATCCCCGTCCCCTTCCGGCCTTAGCCACTCCTCTTCCTCCCACTGAAGCCCCTCCCCGTCCCCCTCGCTGGGGGTCACCGCGCCCAGGAGCCACTCCAACACCTCCCGGATTCCCTCCTCGCGGTCGGGGCAGGACGTGACCTCGCACACCTCTCTCGCCGAGAGGTACTGCCCGTAGCGCGGAGAGTCGAGGTCCGAGACGGCTAAGGCTTCCTCCTCCAGGCGATCGAGGTTGCACTGCCTCAGGTTTATCTGCGGGTTTTAAGGGGAAGCGCGTGGGTGTGTCGGAGGGGGCGTTTACTCTGTGCGCCGTGAAAAAGCGCCGCGGTCACGCGGTTACGGTTAGCATTGCGCTGTAATTTCTGAGGACCAACACCATGCCAACTCATCCTCAAAGGTGTCGACGGTGTCGTCACCTAGGACCACTTGGGTCGTTCAGAGAGCATGCACAGCAGTTATCGGTGTTTTGAACGTCTAGGAATACCAGAGCGGATGTGAACCAGCATCGCCGCATGGGTACACGGGTCTTTCACCGGGGTTGAAGCACAAAACTCCAAACCAAAGGACGGCAGCAAGTTTGTAAGGTCTGAGCTACTGCTGAAACTCTCAAACTCCTGCTCGGGACAGCAGCAGCAGTAGTAGATAGGAATGGCGAGATTTTTCGTGTACATGAGAAAACATCACCCGTCTGCTCATTCTAATACAATAGTCACCATGATCCCAGGCACAGCAGTGAACAGGTGCAATTCCTAAACCATGTGGCTCTCGCTGCACACCCGCCTTAAAACTCGTCTCTCAGCGATAGCAAGGCGAGAAGGCATGAACCTCGGGTTCCTGTCGGATCGCCACATTTTCAAACCTTTATTTATGTAGAGGAGTCTAGGAATATGTACACGCACATCGCTTATTAGTCTACATGGCGGTGCTTCAGGTGTGAAGCGGCTCACTCCGACAGGAGTAGTTTCACCCATGTATCCTGCAGTCCAACTCCATAATCTCTCCAGGCTGCCGTAGTTATTTGTGTCTACTGCTGCGAAATACTTACAGCTGTACGCTGCACCTGGTTGCTCATTTTGTAGGTTGATCATTTTGTAAAACACAGCAGTATGTGGAGAGGAACATCAGCTCGACACCAGACCTCGACTTTTTTGTTTTTTGTTATTTATTTATTTTCTCCCATCATCGGATTCTGTCGTCTGCCGCTCTGGCCCCTATCCTCCACTCCTACTAATAGCTAGACGACCCAACCGGGGTCACGAAGGAGGGGGGCTGGACCCCCTCCTGCGGTTCCTGCCTTTTGAGGAATTTTTATCGCGAGAAGGGTACAGCAGTAATCCCTTCCCTCGCGACTTACGAAGTCGATTGTGGTTTACTAACAACAAGCTTTGCAACGCGTCGCTTTTATCCTTGACCAGGATTCATTTCGTGAGAAAAAAACTCACTCTGCCGGGACTCGAACCCATGACCTGGCCAGGCTACGAGGTTACCCACTAGACCGCCGGGGCGACCGATAGATACACTGCTGGATCACCGGCAACGAAGAGCATACCTTTCGACGGCAACACTCACCTTGAACAGCGCACGCATATCGGAGGAATCTTCTTCCGATCCTACGGCCCATCCCGCCGTAGACCTGCTTGCCCCGCTCGCGTACTTTACCATGCCGCGGTCGATGGTTCGCTCTTCAACGAACGACCTTGGTATTCCTCCGCTTGCGCTGGGCGCCTCATGGGATAACTGCTGTGGCGTTGTTGGCAAGGCTGCAGCAACGAACAATAATCCCGAGCACGCCAAAGTCCCCAGCTGCTGAAAAAGGTGAGTTGTCCCCATTTTGTTTTGGTTGGAGTTGTGTCCTCGCGGGCGCACTCCTTGAGATATCAATGCCCAAAACAGAGCACTGAAAAGGGGCCGACCCAAAGACTACGACATATAACAACGATTTTATGTCTGGACCTAGCTATTTGGACCGAGCCGAGCGCTGGTAAGGGGGACCCGTGAAATATTTTTTCGGGGGACAGAGTCAGTGCAGACCGCCGGATCATCGACGCCGTGAACTGAACCTGCCTGCCCGTAGATCTGAGACGTTTGGTGGGTGACTGCGCGGCTGCCATCAACAAGCCTCAGGGCCCAGGGCGTAGCTTCATGACGTTCTCGTTGTGGAACAGTCATGATGGCGTGGATGTGGAGACGCCGAAAGCACCGCAACGGGAGCGCACGCACAGCAGCGGCAGTTGTAAGACACCCGTGCCAGGCAGCCCCAGCATCGTGTTCCTCAAGGCTCCAGTTGTTCTCCAGAGGCCGCCTGGGGAGCATACGAAGCTTCTACCGAGCGAGACGCAGCAGCGGTAAGACGAGACCTATCATTAGAACGTTGGTTGTGCCATTTACATGCGTGTTCAGGTGTGGTGCATGCCTGAATAGGGTGTTCCGCAGGGCCGCAGGGAACAACAGGTTCAACTTCACCTCCTCCCGCTGGAACTCGTTTATTGGGAGTTGTCCAGTTGTTCCCTCATTGGTTAGTCTATGTGGTGCTTCATCGCTCGATCGACCAATCGCCGGCACTGGTTGTTTAGATAGCCTTCACCTGTGAGCAACCCCCCACTGCAAACTGCAAACTGCGTTCATTTTCATTTTTATTCCGAAAGAAAGGGAGGGTGCTTGTGCCATGTGCAGTACGCCCATACCGCTGGAGATATGCATACCGTAAATGACACAAGATAACACACCCCCTGGACCGATTTTTCTAATCTCGATTTCTCAACAACAGAAAGAGTCACGGCGCCGAAAATGGCGGCGTTGGAACCCTCTCGTCGAGACCAAAAGTATCCATACTCTTCGATATCTGTGAGTACTCCCCTGTACGTATTCGATCCGTCTAACTACGACCTTGGACACGGATGCCCGTCGTACGCACGTAATACTTCATGTGCCACTGGCTGCCTGTGGGGCCTGGAAACTCGTGGTTGAGTGCGCATCTCTTCACGGATACGTCTCCATATATTTTGAAAACACGAAACACTGGCCTCGCGACCACATGTGTCTGTGAAGGCAGGGGTATTTAATTAGTCTTTTGGCTGCTGGGCAAATCGAACGTATGTCGGACCTGGGGCGCAACTCGTCGTGGGTTCGTGTCTGTCGCCCGGCACGGCCTAATCTGCCTTCGTGTGTCACCCCGCCCCTTAGTAAGGAACCGGGCTGTACAACGACTTTCACCGTTCGGAAACTTCCGTTGGTGCTTGGCGCATGGATGTATGTATGGGCTACAACACTAATTTTTCGCACCGATCGTACCTCTGCGCCATTTCTTCCTTGGTCGATATGTAAATGTATGTAGTCTTAAATGTTCCCCATGCGTGTTTCTCCGCATGATCCCTTCCTGGATTCGTAGGCCCGAATGCAACGCGAGCAAGCAGATTAAGAGATGCCAGCTGGTGGTGGTGGTTTTGATATCTCTCGTCACGGCAGCTGTGATCATCTTGTTTCTGGCAGGTGAGTGGGGCGCGGGTGTTCCTTTGTTGTTCGCGCTGACTTACAGCAGTACGATTCTTCTGCTGATGCAAATACTCCCAGGGGCCCACGAAAGTGCAGGCACGTGCCAAGCTCATAAACCCGAGTGTCAACACCGGGCATCCACGGTGCTATCAAGGATGGGCGCGGAAGGCGCACTACTCGCGGTTTGGATGTATCCTCTCTGATGAGTGAGGGTCCCGAACGAAGGTCTACACCGATTGGCGAGTTGAGGGTAACCAATGGGGTGGGCTAAGGGGGCACTTCAGTTTGACAACAATTGTGCCTCCGAAAAGATGCACCCCGTAGCTGCGGAATCCCGAGTGGCTTCCTTCACCGGCAGTAAGCATATCGGTGCATGTGGCGGGCAACGCACAGCATCTACTGCCGTGGACATCGTTAGGCTGTATCCTAGAAGGATGACCACAGAATAGTTGTCTACGTTATATTTATTCATTACAGCGGTAGCTCATTACAGCATCCAGCCCGTTGTGACAAGCATGAGGGCCACGTTAAGGTAAACAACATAAAGCACCGCAGAGCAAACCTGATGGGTAGGTTTTTTCCTTAGGTGACGAAATACAAAGTATTACAGAATCGAGTTGGAAATCAGACACACTAAGAAGACGAAAGGGGCAGGGACGCTCTCCAAGCAAAGACTGGAGAGGAGCAGAAGCAGAAAAAGGTCGCGAAACGTGCAATGCTGAGCAGCCCCCAATGCCGAACACGTCTGTATTCTGCGGATGCTTGAAATGTCGGGGAAACGTACGCGTGTGGACGTTAGTGGACTATCTGGCAGCTGGTATTTCGCTACAAGTCGAACATTCCCCGGGGTCGAGCATGGTGTGAGTGCTAGGGAAGACGGAGCTGGTTGGGGGGCCTTAACACCGAACTTGGGGTTCAACGTGACGATTGAATCTTGGGGTATCACTGGAAAAGGGCTTTCATGTCAATGAAATACGGTCAATTAACATGGTACATCGCACGTCGTGCCTACTAGTTTGGACGCGTGGGAATGCTACCACGCGCTTCTTATTAGCTTGAAGGCATGCTGCACGCGCCACACACCGAGAACTAGTCCTGCGCAGGTAGAGCGCCGGCCGTTGACAATGGAAGCGCATTCAGAGCGCGCGGTGCCACGTTTTTGCATCCAATTTTTTTACGGGGTCTGCGTATAGGTCGCTTTTATTTTTCACGCCCGCGTCGCTTCAACTCCGCAACACGATGGTGTCTAGGCGCATACCCTTGCACTTGAATCACCCTTCTGTTAGGCGCGGGTGTGAGTGCGGGTGATAATGCTTCAGTGCGGTACACGATTAGGTCTTTTCAGTCGAACCCTTCTGAAGGGTCCATCCGTGCTTTCTTTTTACCTCCCCAACCGTTTGGCCTCTGGTGACCCACGAACAGATGACGGACGGCGGTGACTGAGGACCGACCTTGTTTTCTCCCTCGGCGGCACTGCTGTAGTCTGCTGGTGTCGTAATGTTGGAGTTATTTTAGGACTGGACACACTACCACGGTAGTATCAAAATTGTTGCTTGGGCTATGTCGTAGGCGATGCGCGTCTGCGTTAGTTTAACTGTGCTTGTAACCTTGATTTACAGAATCGTCCCCTGCTATGCACAACACAATGGTTTTAGAATGGGGCATGTTGCAGGAGCTCAGTTCTCCTACAGCAGATATGTTCCGTGTTGATCGGTTGGTTTCGGTGGTTGTTTTTCCAGGACATTGTTTAGTCAGGGCCCGTTTCATTGATAGAGCTGTATCGAGTTGTACTTTGACACAATGCGTGGCGAGGGACGTAGACTGCACTGGGAAATTGAGGCGAGACACAGGAACGGTTTCAAGGCCCGCAGAAGCGAAATACGCAGCTTGGAGACACGTCCTTTACTGAGCGCGTAGTTTAGATGTAGAATGGTAGAGCAGGTTGCAAACGCTTGCATCGCCTAGAAAAGTAAAAGAATAGAGGAACCGTTGCTGTGGCTGCTGCCGCTCCCGCCGCCTTAGGAAGGGTGACTTTTCTCTGGCGAACCCGGTCGGATCGTTAGGATCTGTCCGCCCCTCCTGCTGAAATATCCTCCTTGGAATGTTCTGTTTCACCTCTGCAACTGTGAAAATATTTTGATGAGGTTCTAGCCTAACCCAGAGGTTTTGGGGCACTAACCTACCCGACGGGATGCAGTAGATTGTGTGAGGAGTTTTGTGCTGATATATATGGAGGTTCGGGCAGCGTTCGAGATCGTTTTGTGGTTATATGTGTGGGTATGTTGCTTGGTAGACTGAGTGGGTAACGGCATGTTTTTGGAGAGTTCAAGTGCATGTTTGCTATTGATTGGCGCCTACATAGACGCAGCACAAAGGGTAGAATGTCGCGCATGTGTTTGAAAGGCTGGCGTATTCCCAACGTTTTGGCGAAAGAGGTGTACCTATTTCCCTCTTCTTGGTTGTGAATGGTCCTCGATTGTGCGGTTGCGTGGACTCTGTATCTTGCAAGGGGCAGTCGTTTTGGCGGAACGGGCTAGGCTAGATTAGATTTTTCGGATATGCCACTGCGTGCAACTTGAAAGCCGTCCTGCACTCGAAGAGGCGGGAAAGTTCGGTGCGGCAGCGAGTCTAGAACAATGGATTATGCCATGTACTTCAAATGCAATAGAAAACTAGAAGGCACTTTGCACGCTAACCACGATGCTTGCTGAGGTACGTCAAGGCTCTGCGTATCGGAAAGCATTCGCACCCCAACAAAATCCGGTGTTCTTGTAAAACGCGTTGATTGTGGGCCTACCGGCAGCAATGGGTTATGCATGTTTGATCGTGATGTTGGACTTTGGGGACGACGACACCCACAGCAGTTGGGACATGTCTTCAAGGCATGTTGTGGACGATGGCGCCCAAGGCGCAGAACACCATACAGACGTTCCACGACAAAAGTCCGAAACAACGAAACATCAGACCAACTCTCGCCACATCAGCAGTACCGCTGTCAACAATGATGATCGTTTCTCGTGCAGATACAAAGCCCGGATTTGTTGTGTGAAGCGAGATATACGGTACAGGAGGACAAGCTACGATTCCGCTCTTAACCCTTTGCCGTGTGGTATGGGTACAAATACAGCACCGGAATTGGCACCAGCGAGCACCCTTTGTGCAGTCCCATGTGCCAGGCAGTTTCCTCCTTGACCTCCTTCTCGCAAATACCGTTCGTTGTACCTCGACCGAGCTCCATTACACACTAACCACATATTTTCTGTCAGAGTTCCTCGCCCATCCCACCTATTTCTCATTTCACGCTCGCGTTAGCTTGCTATCGAACCTGACGAGATAATTGAACATCACACACAACCACGTTCTGGCTATCGTCCTCGATGGCCGTCGCAAAACCTGGCCCATTACGACGACAACGACACCGAACGATTACATATCATAACATATACAAAGTCTCCCTTCGGGACGTGGGTGTTTACCCTCCCTCAGGTGACGCAAGACCACATGCGCATTGCCCGAGGAGGGACCGTGTGTCTTGCAGAACGCTTGCTTGTATTTCCGCACAAAACATCGCGCACGTGTTTTTTCTACATTGGAGCCAGCTCGAGCGAACAACATTTTGGCAGCGAAAACTCAGACTTCCGTGATGTCTTTGATGATGGCAGATTTCCGGTGAGAACCGAAGTTGAAGCCGAAACAACACTACAAATGGGACATGTTCAACACTGCGGCTGGATGCATGCTCTCAGACTTGTCTACACTTGGCCCGCTGCAAAGTGTATAAACGTAGGTACTGCTGTTGGACAATGCGATGACACGAAGATTCACAGCCATGAATCATCGAACGAATGAATGAACGAACGAAGAAGTGGAAAAGCAAGAGGCAAACATTTCAAACCGCGTATTTCGAGGGTTTGGTAGGTTTCAGAATTGGTTCGCCAGGCTTTGTCAGCGCGGAACGCGTCCCCGGGGTTTTGAGCCAGTTTTCGCAACTTTGACCGTCAACCACACGCGTCGCGGAGGCCTACCGAGCTCCGGGCACGGGCGTTAATGTACCGACGAGCCTCCTGCGTGCCCCTGAAAAGGAACCGCGAGAAAAGACTCGCTGCCGCGAGAGAAAGAAATGCTGAAGCTTAAAAGTGACCAAATCTTAGATTTACATCTAGACTATGTCAACAAAAGACCAACGCGAACAACAGTAGCAGCAACACACAGAAGCAACAACAGCTGACCAATGCCAGGATGACAAGCGCATACAGCAACCAAGAGCTGGACGCGCGCACATGTAGACTACGCCACATGAGTAGCGCATCTCGTAGCGCACTCATCTTCTACACCACAGCCAAGTATGTAACTTGAACTTTCGCAAGCACGTTTCACCTCGTAAACAAACAAACCGTTTTAAGACAGGCAGTCACCAATGTACATATAATCGGAAAACCCGCGGCAATCAACGGGAGACACAAACACAGCCACACCATGACCGGTTGTCGCGCGTCAAGTTCATATGCCGTTGCGGCGGTATGGCGTAGGAGGCAACGATGTGGCCGTTTAGGTTGCGTAGAAGCCATTCCCGCGTCAATACAGTATGGAACATTTTCACGAATCCACCACATTCGTCTGGCTACATTGTGCTTCTTGACCTCCTTGTCCTCCTCTTCCAACAGAGAGTACATCGACATCATGACGCATCTGGCATCGATTGCTCCGCCCCCTCCCGCCCGGGTCGAGCGCCGCCCTTCACCGTTCACGTCGCCTCGGAGACTCCCGACTTTTCGATGATATAGCGCAGTGGGCAATGGTCCGGCGGGGGGCAAGGGCCTCGTAAGTCTATAGGATATGGAGAGGATTCAAGGGCTCTGTTCGGCCGCAATCTGACCATAAAGCGAAGCTTCCGCGGTAGTCGATCTGGGCAACACGAAACAGCGCGAATGGGGCTGAACAACATCCGCAAGTCGTCTGGTTCTCTTCTCCCCGCCCAAACTTACTTCCGGCAAGCGGTTGAGGTCCGCCAATGTGGAGGCCCGCCAGCACGGGGTGTCGAGCGTCGAGTCCAGTCGTCATTGCACAAGCAAGGGGCGCACGCATAGAGAGCAGATACGGAATGGGTCATTCACGATGAACAGACGTCTTCACCGCCAGAACAACGCATCTTGTTGGCGCCACCTATTTACATGAAGTGAGAACGACCCCAACCTCGACGGCTGCGAAATAATTGCGATTTGGTTCCTTCGCCAAACCATATGTACCAGGAATGAGGCAGTCTATCCAGACCCATATGCCACATACCTGCGTGCACAGCCACTGGTAATCCTGGCCATCCTTGTACCGGCATGTTTAAGAAATCGAGCGTGGAGATTTGGGGGGGGGAGGTCGGAGAATGCGCGCCACAAAAAATGCGGATTGGACGGTACAAAATTCACCACGGGCCTGCTCCTTGCCCGCTCCTGATATTTCGCGTTGACGTTCTCTCTGACTAGACTGCTCTTTTAACTGTCCCTGCTCAAGTTCAAGCTCGATGAAATTTCCCATACCCTTGGTTGGGCAAACGTTCCTACTGTACCGAACTTAACCTTGGTAGTTTGGGGGCAAAACGTGTTTGAAGTTGGGTAGTCGGATGCAAGGTGTCACGTCGCATGATTCTCTAGTGCATGTAGTCGCATGCTCTCGGAGAAGCGCTTCCCTGACAACAGCGAAATACCCATTGGAACGAACGGAGTTCCCCACCTCCTGAATGCCCGACTCACTTGTCCAACATGTGACTTGAAGCTGAAGTGAGCAACATGTAGTAGAAAACCTACTGTACGGCTCATGCAGGTGCTGTGAGCGCTATGTTCGGGATCGGGGCTCTTCATCTAGAGAGGCGAGGTCATAGACTAGAAATAGAGAAAACAATACCTACCTGCAGTAAACGGGAAAAAAGGAAAACGAGTAATTGTGCGGTCCCCAGAGCACGGGCCCCGCAAGAGTCGGACGACGACGGCTACAGCTATGTCTTGGAGGAGTTGAAGTATTGTTGAACGTTGAAGTTATCGCTCATGACAATAGGTGAGGCTCAGCGCAAGGAAAGAAGTTCACCTCCCCCACGTTGTAGTTACAACCGTGGTTGTCTGATTCGTTCGGGACCAAGCCGAACGGCGCTCTCTTCCTCTCCTGGTGCCAGTCCATAGCCAGCAACGTGAAATATTTGGTTGAACGGGTGGAGGAGACGTTGTTTGCAGACATGGTGTATTCAGAGCCAAGTGCTGGAGCCGGGCGCAGGACCTGCATACATACATGTGCTTCTACGCTGGTATGTTAACCATAGCCGTCTGTATCAGCCACCTTCATTGGTACGGGTTCCTAAATCACAAACACCACAACAACGTATCACTCCCTTTGCATCGAGGTAAACCGTGTCTCCGTAGCTACGGATGCCACAACCACCTGCGTTTCGTTTCCGCAGAGAACATGCACCAATCGAGGCACCAACCGACCAGTCCGCATTTCTCCCCCACTAATCGCCGCAACAACACAACCATGCCAAAGCCAGAGATTGTGTAGACGGCATGAACACACCATCCGACGTGGGGTGTGGGGATATCATTCAAACAAGTGTTCAAGCCGTGGGCAGAAACACTGTGCCAATCAAGCGGGACAGGTCTGGAAGAGCTCACGCAAGGCTTTCAAACGTGCATCGCGGAACAACTGCTTGACAGTAGTACAGTAACTGGGCGTGACCAACGCAGGAACACGCCACCCATCGATTGTACCTGGGAGACCGCGGGGGAAAGGCTGTCGTAGTCGGCCTCGGCGACGGCGGCAGCTACCGCGTCGGCCAGGGCGGCGGCTGCTTTTGCAACTTCCGCTGCGGAGATGTCGCCCTCGGCTCTCCAGTTTGCACTGTTGTTCATCACCAGAACCGAGACATGGGAAAACGCACAAGGTTTACTGTATCGTATCGTTGATTGATGTTGAGGCTGCTGGAGCGGTACAGGAGCACCACAGCAATGCAGGGTCAGAAAAAGGTACCGGTACGGTGGCTCATTTCCCAGCATCGTCAGTAGCCTGATCAGCATCATCAGCATCTACATTGGCATTGGCATTGGCGTCCGAATCGGTATCGGCATGAATCACGTCGGCAGCATCAGGCGCATAGTACCAAACGCATCATGAGTGCACAGGACTGGTCACCACGGCACTGAATGTCATCCCTGTTGCAGTTTCATCTCATGCTCAACGAGTTGATATCAACCGGGGAAAGATAAGACGGGGGCACCAGCTCCGTTTCGTCGAGAGGTTGCCAAAATAGCTCCTAGTCAGATCGAAAGACGACCGCACAACTATGGTACCAGCTAGCAGGAGGGGAGGAGCGCGGAAAACTTGATTCATGGAGCCCTAAATACTGATTCTGTAAGATCATCACCAGAATCACCGGCATCGAATGCATTCTATTAAGAATAAGCGGATATCCTACAACGCCAGAGAAGTAGCATCGACATTGCCCTTGATTAAGGGTGAACACGCGGGACGGCGGGCGCACCAACTTTCGGGTAATCTCTGAATCTCCCCATTCCTCCATCTGTACGCAAAGCAAAGCGGGGGCACAAGCGTAATCGGGTACATCCTGTCGTAGGAAACACCTCCATTTCTGAGGGACGGATTGTCTTCCCTTGTACGCTCTTTGCTCCGGCCGGCATGTTTTCTCTGTCTAGCTAGATAAGCGTGTGTTGGGTTAGTTGACATTTCACGAGTGGGATAATGTCTTCGGCGTCAACTGTCGTTGCCTTTGTCTCCGTACACTTCTTTCTGGGTGGGTCTGCGGGCAACAACGAAAGACGCAAGGAATGACAACCCAGCAATGAAAATTACATCCAATGCCACGAGCTCTGCAAGGTCAGAACAGCATTTATGAACGGGGAAGGCACGTGTTGTTGTTGTGGTGGGTAGGTAGGACGGAGGGCAGGATAGTGTCCATGACACGAGATCGTGTTTGTCAGTCGGAGGGAGTCAGATGTTCCGCGGGCCGGCACGTACACCAGCAAATGAACCCAACCAACTCCGGGTGAAGGCAGATGACTTCCGCTCCGGCCTCTGCAGGAGTACTGGTGGCCTTCCAAAACAACGGCAAGGGAGATGGAACGTCGAGGGGGGAGGGGTTACGACTGTATCAAACTCCCTCACTTTTCTGTATCCTCGATGGAGAGGTTGGTCAACCTCTCCAACACTCCCGCCAAATATGCATCCTCAGCGATCTGACAAGAGCACCCACCATTTTTCTCTCTATGGGACACTATAGAGCGGCACGCACACGGGCGTCCATGACAAAAAGAACACCACATGCATGAAGGCAGGCGATCGCGAAAGGAAATATAACCCGTGACGTACCCGTTGGCCGCCTCTTGACGGCTGCCCACTAGCCACACGTCGGCTTGGATGTCGTGCGCCTTCTTGGCGCTGCAGTTCGCGAGTAACGGTGGCATCAACGAGGACAATTCGGCCAATGGCAACGGCGAGATGAAGCGTCGATGGTTGGAGTCAGCCATCAGCTTAAGATCCAGCGAAACAGCTGAGCGGAACATCAAGAGTTGTTTGTTGATCAACAACTCAGGCATTGTAGACGTTGTCGGGAGTCTGTCCATGAATGAACCCTTCTTTCTAGCCAATATAATCACCTGGTCGGAAGAACTCCCCGTTCCGCCCCGGAAATGGAAGATATGACGTAGCCCTTCGGACCCAACGATCATTTTTCTCTTTTCGACATGCAATAAAGAAACGAGGTCGTTGGGCCTACAAAATTTCGACCATTTACGGGGCAGAGGTTGGAGTTCTTCGGGCCAGGTGAATATGTGGCCTAGAGAAACGGATTCATTCATCGACGGACCCCCGACAACGTGTGCTATGCCTGAGCGGTTGATCAACAAAAAACTCTTGATGTTCCCCCTCAGCTGATCAGCTGGAGCTTGAACTGATGGCTAACTCCCACCGTCGACACTTCATCTCGCCGTTACCATTGGACGGATCCTGCTCGTTGATGCCACTGATACTTGCGAACTGCAGCGCCAGGAAGGCGTACGAGTTGCAGACGGATGTGTGGCTACTCGGCAGCCGTCGAGAGGCGGAAGCAGGTTACGTCACGGGTTCTACTTCCTTCCGCAATCGCCTGCTTTCGTGCTTGTTTTATTTGCCCGTGTAGGTGCTATTTCCTTCCCCCCGGCCTGCCCCCCTCCCTACTGGGGTGGGCCGAAAGCCGCAAGGGGACTTAAACCTCGAAACACCACCCAACAAGGACGGATACACAGTCCCTAGCACCGATCAGACGGGGATCCTGAGTTTGGCGACCGAGAACTACCGCGGTCGTAAGATCGGGGTAGCTCGCGACCTAGCCGACTTGGATAGCTGCAAATGAGACTGAATCCAGACGCCCCGGCCTGGACACCGGGGTCATGCAGCAGCAGAAAACACGGGGTACACCGTGAGGGTATGCACCAGAGAGGGGAAAGGAGAGGGTCCAGAGCTGGAGGGCCGCACCGCTCCGGGACAAGACAACTCGCTGGGACAAAAGGCAAGCACGGGGGTAACTTGTACGTTAGCCCGAGAGCCCGCAAAAAAAGAAAACATAGCCAAAAAAAGAGGGCACCAAGTAGGACAAGAAAGGGACGGGCGAAGAGTAGGCTGGCTAAGAGAGTAGCACGCACTGCCCGAAAGAGACAGCAGGGTCGACTTCTTAGGGTAGCAACCTGGAATGTGCGGACTCTGGCTGTAAACGGGAAGAATGGGTACGGGCGAGCCTACAGCATCCTACACGAGGCAGCGAAGCAAGATGCATCGGTGGTAGGGCTGCAGGAGACCAGGAGGCCAGGTCAAACGGAGTTTTCAGCAGCGGGTTTCCGAGTGTTCTGCTGTGATACGTACGGAGAAGCGCAATATCCATGGTGTGGGAATAGCGTTCAAGAATCACTGTGCAAGACCTTCACGTGCACCACGAAGTATGTCGACAAACGTCTCATGACCATGAGGTTTGAGATGACGGGCCACCGCGGAGCTGTCAACTTCGTTGCTGCGTACGCCCCAACCGAGGTCGCCGGCGACGACATCAAGCCAGAGTTCTGGGGAAAACTTGGCAGTCTCGTGCGGAGGATTTCCTCCAAAGAATGCATGTATATCCTGATGGATGCCAATGCTCGGATGAGAGAAAGGATGGAAAAGGAGGACGATGGCGTCATGCGGATGCACGGGTGTGATGAGCTAAACGAGAATGGCCGACTACTGCTGACCTTTGCAGCGGAAAACAACCTAGCACTCGCGAACACGTTCTTCGAGACACGCAAGGGCGGAATATGGCACACATACAACGGTGCGTCAGGGACCGACCGCTGGCGCCCCGACTTCATTCTAACGCGGCAGGCACACCGCGGCCGAGTTTCTAGCATGGTTGTCATCCCCCAGCCGGTATCCCCAGTCAAGGCGGACCCAGACCACAATATGGTACTAGCCACCGTCAAAACAGTCAAGGCGGACCCACACCACAACATGGTGATAACCACCGTCAACCTCGGTGGCAGGCTTGCCCACAGCCGAGCAGTCCGGACCAAACCGAAACAGCGGCAGTTCGACCGACGGGTTCTGCAGGTCGAAGCAACGCGATGGGCGGTGACTACGCGGTTCCTCCTCAACCTTGGCCAACGGCAGGACGAACGAGCGACCACCACCCCGGAGAAGGCGACCGAGTTCACCAATGCTCGCCTCGAAGTGGCGAGGGCGATACTACCCGAGGAACCGCGGAGACGACGCTCGCGGGAACGGTGTGAGACCCCTGAGACAAGAGCAGCATTGGAGGAGGCCCTCACCAAACGGCGGGAAGCGCGCCAATCGATGAAGGACAAGTTGAACACAACATCGTGGAGGGCCCTCACGGCAGCGTGTGAGGGAGTGGCCGCAGCAGTCCAAACGGGCAAATATGCCCACCTGGACAGATATGTGACGGACCTCGAAGCGATCTACAAGGACCACGATATGAAAGGCCTCTACCAACGCCTCAAGAGATCAGTGGGGCTCAGTGGGAGACAAGCGGGAGGACAGCAGTCCGTTGTGGACGAGAATGGCGTGCTGCTTCGGAGAAAGAACGACATCCTCAAGCGATGGGCGAGATTCTTCGGCACCCTACTCAACACTAAGTCCCCCACCCTGAACCCAGACGTAATCGAACAAGTGACGCACCGACCGGCGACACGTGCCACTCGACGGTTGGGAGAGGTGCCAGACCTAGAGGAAGTGGAACGGGCAACGAAAGGACTGCAGAACTGGAAGGCACCCGGCAATGACTCCCTCCCTGCCGAGTTGCTCAAGATCGACGACCACGACGAGGAACCCATCGTCCTGAAGCACCTCCATGCGCCATCCTCGTTGAGGTGTAGAACAGAGGAGAGATCCCCCAAGGGTGGAAGGACGCAACCATCAAGGTGTTGCACAAGAAGGGTGGCCGGCCCAACTGCAACAACTTCAGGGGGATCTCGCTCCTATCTCACGTAGGCAAGGTCCCCGTGAAGATCATCACCAACAGCCAAAGCGCCTTCTACGGAACCAACAACATCCTCCCGGAGGAACAATGCGGGTTCCGACCTGGGCGATCCACCATCGACATACTGTTGGTCGTGCGCCGACTCCAGGAGTTGGGGCGGAGAAGGAAAATACCGCTCTACATGTGCTTCGTCGACCTCAAGAAGGAGTATGATTCGGCGGACCGAGAGTTGCTGTGGAAGGTGCTGGCCAGGGCCGGGATTCCTGAGGAGATGATCGCCGTCATCCGCCAATTCCACGATGGAATGTGAGCCCGGGTGCGCATGGACGACGGAAAGTTTTCGGCCTGGTTCTGGGTCACATAAGGCCTACGAAACGGGTGTGTGCTGTCCCTACTGCTGTTCAACATCTTCTTCGCCGTGGTCATCGAGGTCGTTGCCACTCGATTCAGCGAGGATGATGCTATTCTGCAGAACCTGGTGTACCTGGAGGAGGAGACGGGAGCGGGGGCGAGGACACCACTTGACCGAGTGCGGAGGGTGGTATGGGGGATGCTGTATACCGATGACGCCGGCGTCGTATCGAGGTCTGCCGTAGGACTGGCGAGAATGATGACCGTCATCGTGGAGGTGTTCGGGAAGAGGTGTTCGGGGAACTCGGGCTGACGGTATCCGAAAAGAAGACGGAGACGCTTCTGATGCGCGCAAAGGAGAAGCAGACAACAACAACAACACCGCCCCCCCCACCGCCACCGCTGATCGTCGAGGCAGCAGGGCAGAGGTACGCCCACACGACTGAACTCCGGTACCTAGGTGGCCTCGTCAACGAACATGGCGACCTCACCCGGGAGATCAATTACCGGAACAAAGCAGCGTGGGCATGCGTCCGGAGATATGGCCAGGAGCTCTTCGACAGGCCAAGAGCACCGTTCCGACTCAAGACTCGCCTGCTCCAGGCCGAGGCGATGGAAGCACTGCTGTACGGCTGCATGACATGGGCCCCACGTCAAGACCAATACCGGACGTTGCGGACGATACACCACCGACTACTCCTGCGAGTTGTCGGTTACCAACGCATGAAGTGCACCTACCGGCAGCTTTCCTATGCCCAGACCCTGAAGAGGGTAGGGTGCCAGAGCGTGGAAAGCACTATTCGGCAACGGCGCCTGCTGTTCGCGGGAGCGCTGGCAAGGCAGCCAGACGGACGACTCCCGAAACGGCTGATGCTTGGCGAGCTGGTTGGGGGGGAGGGCTCAGGCAGGGGGAAACCGGAGCAAAACTGGCAGATGTGCCTGAAGGACGACCTCAAGATGTTCGAAGCAGAGCACGGATCTACGGACGCCGAGCCATGCTTCTTCGGAGTCCTGGAAACAACTTGGGTGGAAAAAGCGAAGGTGGACCGGGGGGTATCGTGGCATACAGGGGTACTGCAGGGAGCTCAGAGGTGCTTGGCCTCCTGGCACAAGAAGGAACAGGAGGCTAGCCGACAACGAGAGCTCAAACGGAACAAGAAGCCCGGCAACAACACGGACGCGGCATCAACCACGCGGGCGGGAGGGGTGCAGAAGGCGGACGAGACGGCGAGGAAAGCGAGGAAACGCGAAGAGGCGGACCGAATGGCGCGAAGCACTGTGCCGAATTGAGTCCCTTGCTTGACTTATCCTCCCCCTCCCCCCAGCAACGTGAAAAAGAGTGCCGTCATGGTATGCAACGAGGACAGGGAGGAACCAGTTGAACATAGATGGAAGTGGGGGATCGAGGAGATTGCAGTAGTGGACCAGTATACATACCTCGGAGTAGAAATCGCAAAAGACTGCTCGTGGAATGCGCACAGTTCCAAGGTAGCGGAAAAAGGCGAAGCACCAGCAGGGAAGCTGCACCCAATACTCGCAGACCGGCACCTCGATACACGCATCAAATTGACGATTTTGAAGAGCGTAATCGCACCGCCGCTAGAGTACGCCGGAGAAGTATGGGAAGGAAACAACAAGGTAGTGAAAGAAGTCGAGGCAACGCAAATGAAAGCAGCGAAAATCATCCTAGGATGCTCCAAGCGCACAAGTACTGCAGCCGTCAGGGCAGGATTGGGGATCCAATCCCTACGGTCGGGAAGAGACGCGAGGAAGCTGACATGGCAGTATCGTATGTGCGGGATGGTGCGGGATGGGAGAGGAGAGGTTGCCGAAAATAATATGAGAGGCGAAGTGGGCAAACAACAAGAGGGGTAGACCCCACGGAATGGGTCAAGGTTGTAGACGACGTATGGAAGGAGCTCGACATCGACGAAGATGAAACATTGGAAACGGAGGGTCTAAAGGGGTTCAAGGAGAAGATATCTGTTGCTTGTGCCGAGAGAGAAGAACAGAATCTAAGCAAAGAAACCAAGGATAAGGAGGGTCTAGAAGTGTACGGAATGATGAAAGAAGGAATAGGGTTCCAGGAATACCTACATGGACCAATGGATACAGGGACAAAGCTTCAGGTCAAATTCAGGACCGGGGACATTGACCTTCGAGAGCGTCGACGAAGGCGCATGGCACGGTAGACGACGAGGATGACAAGTTCAAATGTAATTGCGGCTTCGAATGCGAAGACCGTAATCATGTAGTCGCGGAATGTCAGTTGTACGAAGAGGAGAGGGAAGTGTACATGACTGAGCTGGGAAAAATACAAGGGAGATACAGGGAAATGTTTAAGGCATGGAATAGAGAGAAGTGGACGGTACCTGTACTGGGGCATAGGAGGTGGTTTGAAAAGGCGGGAAGGTATATCGTTGGGATAAATAGACTAGGGACGACATTTTTAAGCCACCTTTGGCAAAGTAGGAAACGATTGGCCATCGGTGATCGGTCCAGTGGGAACAATGCTCGGTCCTCTCGAGGACGCGTGGTCAATGGTCTAACCGCTAAGGCATGCAAAACATAAGAGTACCCCCCACCCTTGCCCCCCCCCCTCCCGGCACTGCACCATTGCACCAAACCCCCGCGAGCGATGACGTGCATTTGCTGGCTCGGGTGGCCCGCTTTGTGTTGCCTTGTCTTGTCTTGTACTGTTTGTTTGTTGTTTGTCCCTACGGCGTGTGTCTTTCTCTGTCTGTGTCTTTATCCTTCTCTCTCCCTTCTCTCCATCTTCTCTCTTCTCATTCGTTTTCTGGTTCTTTTTCTTGTTTTCTCGTTTTTCTTTTTTCTTTTCCTTTTCCTTTTCCTTTTTCTTTCTAATCTAGGGTTACCTCGCATAGCGTGTAGAGGCGAGCGGAGTGGCCTAGACTATCTATCGTTGACTTCTATTGGCTTGCACACCCTTCGTGTACCTTTTTTGGGGGTAAGCTAGCCTTTTTTTTTTTTTCCATCATTGGACTCTGTCGTCTGCCCCTCTGGCCCCTATCCTCCACTTCTACTAGCTAGACGACCCAACCGGGGTCACATAGGAGGGGGGGATGGACCCCCTCCTGCGGTGCCTGCCTGAGGTATTTTTATCGCGAGAAGGGTACAGCAATCCCTTCCCTCGCGACTTACGAAGTAGATTATGGTTTACTAACAACGAGCTTTGCAGCGCGTCGCTTTCATCCTAGACCAGGATTTATTTCGTGAGAAAAAAACTCACTCTGCCCGGACTCGAACCCATGACCTAGCCCTTAGCAGGCTGCGAGGTTACCATCTAGACCACCGGGGCGACCGGGGTAAGCTAGCCTGTGACCACGGGAATCGACCCCGTGAAGTGTTAGATTAGGACGGACAGAAGAAGGTACTAGGCAGAGAGAACAGAACGTTTATTAATGTGAGGACAACAACAAAAACAACAACAACAACAAAAACAACATGCCGGTCTTTAGTTTCCCAGAGAGAGGTCGTCAGCCGAGGTCCCGCCGCAGTTGCACAAAGGGTGGGTGGGTGCTTTGTAAATACGTGCTGTTACCAGTTGCATCTCTCAGTATACATGTCCCGGGCGACTATCTGATCTCACTTCATCCTCCTCAGGTTTGACGGCGTAACGTTGTAGCAGACATTCCTTGCCTGCACTTCTGCCAAGCCTTGGGCTCTCTGTCCATGTCCAGGCTCTGGGTCTTCTTCATGTTGTTTTCCAGGTCGTGAGAGAGCTTCGTCTTGGCCGCGGCACCCTTCATCTGGCAAATGGCGGCATGTATGAGGAGGGGGGCGAGTTGTGTGCTATCCGTTTAGTGGGTAGGACACCTAAATGAAACAATGTGCTTTAGTATTTAGCAAGTATCGGTAGACCTTCGAAAGTGTACTCGAAGTTGGTCTTGGGGAGGGGTTCATGCTGGTGGTTTTTCCTGTCTATCTGGAGCCGGTCTACACCGTTGGTATGAGTTCGACGCACCAGCCGGGGCCACACGGAAGGAAATGTCTCAAACCTTTCGTCCTTCGATGCTTGCCTACCATGTTTGACGCGAGAAAGATTAGTGCGTTCAGCGGTCTTCAGCAGTCTTCCCTCCTTTGTTGTGTGTACTCACGACAACTATCAAATTGAAATAGAATCACCTCAGGCGGGCAGCTCGGGTCATTGCGAGGGCTATCGCGATGTAGCGCCGACAGAGAATGATGAACCAGAAAATGTTTGAACACGAAAGTTCGTAGATATATTGTGAGAGCATGGTACACGTGTATGGTGGATATAAGTGAACTGGCCGTATCTCTTGGATGCATACGAGCAAGGGGGCTGTAAGATGCTAGATATAGTCGTGGCATGCAACACGGACGGATGGACCCTGAGCTGCGGTCATGGATACACCCTGTCGAAAACGGTTGTATTTTTTGTTCAATACTTCCACTACGAAAAAAAAACTAAGGCATACTCATTTAAGCGTTTCCTCCAAAAACCTACACCCAGAAATACAAAAAAATATGTTAATATAAAGAAATTTGAACTTTCAGAAGGGAGCGGGGAACAGCAACGGAATGCAGAACTTTTACTCAGAGAATTTCTAAAATACCACTTCTTTCACAATACAAGTGAGTTTTTTACGTGGACCAGCAGCGACCGGCAAGGGGATGTTTTTTGTGCCGGTTGGCATCAATGATCTCCTATTGTGTCGGCTTAGAAACAGACTCAAGGGCGTCCAGCAGACCAGCAGATGAAAAACTTGAATGCATGTGTTTGATTAGGACATGGCCTCGAACAGGCAATCTTTGCATCTAAGCCTACAGCAGTAGCAAACATGGTACGAACTTAAACTGGCAATAGTATACCTCATCTTTATCAATATACTTCTACTAGGGTAGCGGGTCCCCCCGTTGTGAGGGCGGCGGGCCCCGAAAAATACCAGCATCGCACAGGAAGTCGTTCAGATACAATTGTACTTCTATGCATACGAGGTTCGATTTGTCGCCATTCAACTGTTTGGTAGATTGCTGTTGCAGGTATTTCACGCACGTAAATTATTGGCGACAATATCGGAGTTTCACATAACATGTGGAAAGCATGTACTCGTCGCACGACAGTAGTTGTCGGTCACAAGGTGGAGGTCTCACAAGTCAACAATACTTCACTCAGTATAGGTGTAGATCATAGTCATGATACATAAGTTGAAGCGACATGTACAAGGGATTACTGCTAATGGTGGTTCGACGTTCAAGTCGTAGCTTGTATGTTTGATTGATAAACGTTTCAGTTGTGCAGGTGTGCATACAAATCCGAGATCAGATGTACTTAAATGTGGAAAGCATGTCGTCGTCGCAAGACAATAGGAGTTGCCGGTTACAGGTTGTAGGCGGTATGGTCAATGCGAGACATCTGAGAATGTAGTCGGAGAAGAGATTCTTATGGCGCGCATTCTCCGACCTTCCCCCCCACACCCCCCCGCTCGATTTCTTGCACATTCGGTACAAGAACGACCAGGACTACGAGTGGCTCTGCGCGGAGGTAGGTGTCATTTGGATCTGGATAGACTCACTCATACCTGGTGCATATTCCACACCCCTACGCTCGATTTCTTGCACATGCCGGTAGAAGAATGAACAGGACTACGAGTGGCTCTGCGCGGAGGTAGGTGTCATTTGGATCTGGAAAGACTCACTCATACCTGGTGCATATTTCACACCCCTACGCTCGATTTCTTGCACATGCCGGTAGAAGAATGAACAGGACTACGAGTGGCTCTGCGCGGAGGTAGGTGTCATTTGGATCTGGATAGACTCACTCATACCTGGTGCATATTCCACACCCCTACGCTCGATTTCTTGCACATGCCGGTAGAATAATGAACAGGACTACGAGTGGCTATGCGCCGAGGTAGGTGGTAGATGGGTCTGGATAGACTGCCCCATACCTTTCTTCATCCTTGTACCGGCATGTGCAAGAAATCGAGCGTAGGGGTGTGGGGGGGAAGGTCGGAGAATGCGCCCCAGGAACCAAATGGCAATTATTTCGCAGCGTCGGGGGTGGCATCGGTGATGTCTGGTTGCCCAGCGTTCAGTCCGCGAGCTCCGTGGTGGCGTCGTCGACGCCGTCAATCCTGAGGAAGGCGTAGTCAGATCGGATCATCGCCCGGGACACGTACGTATACTGAGAGATCCAAGTGGTAGCAACACGTATCAACGAAGCACCCCGCCTTTGCTCTGCATTTTTGGCTGGACCTCGTCTGACGAACTCTCCATTGGAGACTAAAGAGGGGCACGTAAACGGG